TTGAGTATGTGTTTTCTGTAGTTTTTAGTATTTATGACCTGATCCTGTATGGCAATCATGAATCCTTCCGTCTCCCCAAAGAGGCATCCCCGATCTAACCAGCTGTTTGACGCAGTTTTGTCAACAAAATCCTGGGCCAGATCATAAGGATGCCTGCCGTGGAGTGCCTTTCGAGCCCACGATTGCTTGATTGTGTCTATGCTTTTTATATGTTGTGTCATGTCTGTGTGTTGTGAGTGTAAGTTTAATGGTGTGTTATTTGAGTCTGCTAGAGTTACTGCTTTATGTAATTGTGATGTTTGTTGTTTCTTGTAGAAAAACTCTTGCAGTGACTGTATTATTATTATTATTATTATTATTATTATTATGTACTGTACATTACTGTATCAATAAAATGTGTTTATGAGACTTACAATAACAAAACCACATGCAAGAAAATTATGAACCAAATAGGGACGTGCTTATTTGTTTCATAAATATACAATTTGATCATTCTAGATTACTTTGTTCTAATATGAATAGGTGGTTACTGACGATGAGAACTTAATGCTCGAGCTCGTTTTGTGTATTTCCTACTATATAAATATGTGCATTTTTTAAAATTATAATTTTAGTTTAAATGTAAACGATGGTTATTACTTTCAATTTTTCTTCTACACGTAAACCGCATACAGCAAATTGTCGGATATCCTGAAAGGCATTCTGCATCTGCAAAATCGAGTAATTTATTAATAGAAAATATTAAAATATTACGCTAATATATTACAAAAAGATAATTTTTACCGCAAAGGCAAAAGAGCACAATAAGCATGCACCAATAATGCATATAAACGTAAACAAGATAAGCGCTATTAGAAATCCAAAACGAAATATGTCGGGTACATTTGAGTGTAAAAACATGTAAAAGAGAAAACTCGTAGTCGAAGTGATAGCAAAATAAATAATCATAACGAGATAACTGAATTTCGTATTGAACTGATTGACGAACTTCCATAGATTTTCGTGACGAATCATCACATCTTTCAATTTCGAATAGGCATTGCCGTCATTTCTTCT